TTTTTTTTTTTTTTTTAATTTCTTAACATTTATTTATTTTTGAGAGACAGAGAGAGGCAGAGCATGAGCAGGGGAGGGGGAGGGAGAGGGAGATTCAGAATCCGAAGCAGGCTCCAGGCTCTGAGCTGTTTGTCAGCACAGAGCCCCACGTGGGGCTTGAACTCATCATGACCTGCGAGACCATGACCTGAGCTGAAGTCGGAAGCTCAACTGACTGAGCTACCCAGACGCCCCCCTTCTTTTTTTTTTTTTAAATGTTTATTATTTTTGAGAGAGAAAGAGAGAGAGAGAGTGGGGGAGGGGCAGAGAGGGAGACACAGAATCTGAAGCAGGCTCCAAGCTGTCAGCACAAGAGCCTGACGTGGGGCTTGAACTCACAAACTGAGATCATGACCTGAGTGGAAGTCAGAAGCCACCCAGGCGTGCAATCTACTTAAGGCCAGGGGCTTTGTTTTTATTTTATTTTATTCTATTTTATTTACTTTGTATTCCAACCGCCTACAACAATGCCTGGCATGTAGCTGGAGCTCAAATACTTGCTGAAGGAATAGCTGGGTCTTGTAAAATGACTACTGAAAACCTGGAAATGTAAAAGAATTGTTTGGAAGCAAACCTAACATGCTTTAAAAATTTGTTTAAGATATTTTATTCGTATATACTCGCATTGAGAAGGTTGGAAACTTACTGACCACAATAAAGCCAGCTATAGTTGGCAAAATTATGTCACTAGTTCTAATGATAGGGTCTTATAAATCAACTGATAAACCGTTATCTCACTTCATTCATTAAACAATACACTAATGAATCTTTATTATGTACTTGGTACTACTTTAGGCCAGAGAATTCATTATTGAACCATGTGCAGGAAACAAGAGGATAACCCAGTTTTCTAAAATAAGGGCTAGAAAGGTGGCAGCGTGTAATACAGAGATAGCCTCTAGACCCAGAGGTTCTGGTTTTAAATCCTGACTTTACTACTCATTTGCTGTATGTTTTCGGCAAGTTACTTAACCTCTCCGTATTCAGTTTCCGCACAGTAAAATGTAGATAATGACAGCACTACCTAACAAATAAGGTAGTTATAAAGGATTGAGGGAATTAACACAAAAGCATTAAGAACAGTATGTAGCAAATACTATAATTATAGGTCTCTGTCACCATAAAATTTTCCTCTAAGGACTATTATACCCTGTGTTTTTCTACTTACATGTCTGTTACTCTCTACTGGACTGTGAACCACCACCCCCTTGCAGTGAGAGAGGTCCACCTTTGACTCAAATTTGCACGCCCAGATAGTGTCCAACAAATATTTGTTGAATGAATGAAAGTGCAGGGTTAAGAAACATATAAACACATGCTACTTCAGTGTAAAGCAAGCCAGGATAAGAAATGAAGGGGAAAGTGAGTATCACTATCTGTAAAGCTTACAGGTAGATGGTTAGAACACAGTAATGTAGTCAATCTTAGGCATTAATTTTAGCTGCTAATAAAGTGTTCCCAGGACCACAGTCCTTAGAGAAGGGGTTGTGGCCAACTAGTGAACAACTACTAATTCCATCTCAGCAGTTTCCTTCTATGTCCATGAGCAAATTATTTCCACAGATAGGTAATTCTGTCTTGTTAAGAGGATAGGAAGCCTAGTCAAGTGTCTGAATGTTTGATTATGAAATGGGAAAGGATGTGTGTATTTGGTTCTTTTTGCTCTTTGCAACACTGCATTTGAAAAGCAGGAGGGTGGGAGATTCCTGCTGACTTTCCACAACGTTACAGTGTGAAGACAGGTTACTATTCTTTGCTTAGACATCTGGGCAGTCAGCCAAGATCCAAAGAAGGAATGTCTTTGCTCTTGGCAGGGCTCTAATGACCTTCCTGCAGATTCAGACGCTTGTGCATGTCTCAGTTGTCAAGCTTGAATAGAAGTGCTCCTTCTGTTATTCTACAGAAAAACCCATGTATTCGTTTTTTTCTTTCTAATTTACATCTATTTCTGTAATATAAAAGACAAACTATCATTTAGATTCCTTCATACAGTTAATTCTTGCTGTCACTCCCAATTCCCACTTAAAAAAAAAAATTGCTTTGAACAGCTTGCAAAAGATGGCCCCTTTTAAACTCAATGATTGTTCACATCCTCTCCTGAGGAGGAAAGAAGACTGAGTCACATGAGACTGCTGTCAGTTTCAGGAAACCGACAGGAGTATTTTTTCTTATGGACATCTCTGTGTTCTCTGGTGCCCAGGTGACCTTCTGGGGGTGAGGCCTGGTTGTATCTACTGCGTAGCAAAACAACCTAAGAAATGGGGGCCCAGGATTCTCTCTGTGACTTTGGGAAAATCATTTAACCTCATCAGGCTACTTTTATTTTATTTATTTATTTTGAGAGAGAGACCGGGGCGAGGGGCGGGATAAGGAGGTTGGTGGTGGTGGTGGAGCGAGAATCCTAAATAGGCTCTGCCACTGTTAGCGCGCAATCACCAGGCTACCTTTTAAAATTAGATTAAATAATCTCCAAATTCCCTTCCAATCCTAGAATTCCAATATTCTGAATTGCAGGGAATAAAGCTATCAGGTAATATAAATGCTGATAAAATACTTGTTTGTATCTGCAGTATGAACTTGTATCTGCCTCCAGAACCTCAGCTACTGAAAATAAATTTTCAAAATAACTTGGTAATTGTACGGCACAATATGGTAAGGTGAAAAAAGCTGTAAGACCCTTGGGAGCAAACCGGTGTATGACCTTGAGCAAATAATTCTTTGGGTTTCATTGAACACAATTTTAAGATTTGAAGTAGGGCAGATTTATCAAGATGAATTTAAAAGGTCCTATCCAGTTCTAAAATTATAAAGTCTCATGTTCTCTAAGTACCCTGCATTCTTGCTAAGATTATTAGGTCAGAGACCAAACCATCGTTTAAATGACTAATTATAAGTAAGAAACCGAGATTTAAGAGTTAGTAGCTACTAAGAATTAGTAGCTGTCACCACTGGCCCCTTATAAAGGTAGAGGAGGTAGTAATCCCCTTACCTTGAAAATATGGCTTATCGGGTTCAGGAAAAATTCCAATTCATTTAAATACAGCGGAAATAATGGAGGAAGAACAACTTCAACTATAAATACAAGTACTGAAGAAATTTCTGTCTGATGTCAAATGTCACCTTCAAACAGCATGCAGATTATTTCTACGTCAGAGTTGCCTCACCTCCCCCTCCCCCCGCCTTGCAGCAGAGACAAAATATGGTGATCTAGGTACCCAGACCTTCACAAGATGGTTACATTGTGTAATATTAAAAGTAGTGGCTCTAGAATTCGTAACACACAGATCAGTGCTAGTGATGCCGCCACTGCACCACTTCCTGGTTTTACAAAAGATCAATGAACAGGTTTTAAATAACATTTTGTGAAATTAGATATGGCGGAAACACAGCTCTTGAAAACGTCGATTGTAATCTGGAGCACCTGGTAAGCACTATCTTTAACCAAGGGCTCTCTGCTTTCAAGGGCTTTGTGAGAAAAGCCTTTAAAAAACACTATGGGCTCAAGGAAGAAAAAGAGGCTAAGATCCAACACCCCTCCTCCCATATCATCCTTATCAAGCCCTATAATTGTGCTTTGGAGAAAACCCGAAGCTTCGTATTTTGCATCCCCGCCATGCAGCAGGACTGAGATCGCGCCTCTCCAGTGATGAACTTCTCTGGAGTCCTTGTAAGAGCCCCTAGGTGGAAATCAACCCCGTCCCAATTACTGGGTCACTGCGAAAGCCCCCAAAAGAGGATTCGAGGCTTTACTAAAGCCCTCCAAGGACAGTGCTTTGCACAGCCGTCCCCTCCCTCCCTCTCCCAACAAGTCCTTCAAGTGCAAGAAACCCCACACAAGGGCGCGAAAGTCGAAGGTAAGCAGGATGCAGGGGCCCACACTCACCATGATTAGGAACTGCGCGAACAATTTCAGCACCTGCAAAACGAGCCTCCGCGAATCCGGTCACCTCTACCGCAGAACGGACTTACGGAGGGCGAGCAATGTGAGAAAGAAAAGCTCCCAACCGCAGCGCCCTCTGGGAACTGTAGTTTATGCTGCCCAGATTCTGGCGCACTCTCCAACTCATTTCCTTCAAGTGTTGAACTACACTTCCCGAGGTCAGAGAGCCCACTCACTCCCTTCTCCCTGCGCTCTTCGCGGATTGCAAAGTAGTCCCTGAGGGCCCGCAGCTGTGATTGGAAGACAGCGATGAGCAGAAGATTTGTGCTTAAGGGAAAGGACCTGCCTGATGGCGCCCAGCAATTGGTGGGAGGGGAGGCATGTGGAACTTGAGGGAGGAGATACAGATCTGTTAGCTACATCCCCCGTACGTACGCATCTGAGGCTTATCTTATTCCCAAGGGTAAATGTGTGAAGCAAAGAGACCTTCCGCTGCGTAAATCGAATTGACCCGGAAACAAAATGTTTTTAAAAACTATTTGCACCCCGGAGGGGCGGGCGGAATTGACGTGTCGCGAAGACTGGAAGGCTTCGCAGGTTGCTAAGCGACGAGGCGGGAGAGCGCGCGCACGCACGGGCCGCTGGGGAGTACTTGGGGGGATTGTGGCTGCCGCAGCTCCGAAACGCTGGAGACAGAGCTAGCGTGCCGTGGCCAGCCCGGTCTCCTTCCTTACTTGCCAGGGGACGCCCCTCTGTGGTCGTGTCGGGTGACGAGGTGAGCAGTTTGTGGGGACGCTCCTTTGAGGTGGCCAGGGGCCGCACGTCTGCCCTACTCCAGAGGCTGGTGAGCCAGGGCCCGAGGGCTAGAGGTTTTCTGTTAACCTGAGGGTCCAGAATGCCGGGTAGGCGCCGGCCTGCTTTGCTTTTATCTACCCGGGTGCTTTGCCTACTGGGCAGTGCCCGCGAGCTCGCCGGTGCCTCAGCGCTGAGTGTTAGGGCAGCAGCGTTCTGGAGGGCGTAGTGTCCTGAAGTTCGCGCCCCCTCCCCTGTGTATGATACAGCTCGTTTAAAGTTAAATAAAAAGTAGTGCTTGTCTTGTGGGATGTGAGTCCTTCCTCTCCTGGAGTTCACAGTTCACGGATCTTTTTCTCTAAGTCCTTGTGAATGTCGACTTTTGCCTATTTTTTGAAAACTGGCCTCTGTATAAGCCATCTTGACCTTTGAATTACGCCAAACCTGAATTTCTAAGGGACATGTAGTACTTGAATGGGAGACACTAGTTGTTTCAGGCAGTGTCTCGGCTGGTGTACAACTGGGATGTTTTGATTTAAAATTAATGCTGCCCAAGAGAATTGTTGTGCTCCCTGAAACCTTGTTTGATGTGGCTAGGGAAAGGAAGATGTGGTGCTCTGGAATGACGTATATGTAAAGAAAATGAATGCAGTATCTATATTAGATAACATTGCTCTAACTTCTAGTTTTTCTCTATCACTGGTGATTGAATGCCAAGTGGTATCTTTCAGTTTTACTCTCTTCATTTTGGAGGGTTTGCTATTGTAGGAAAGAACTATAGCATTTTACTTTCCAGTTTGCTTTATCAGTATTACTTATCATAACTGAATGGTTCTCTCTTCTTTGAATCACTTTATTCACTTGTTATTCATATAACATACTTTCCTGGTTTTCTTTTTATGTCACTGGTTGTCTCTTCTTAGGTTTCTTTGCATGTTCTTTTTTGCCTTTGACTTCTTAACATTGCAGTGCCTTTGCTCTTCTATCTACAGTTAATCCCTAAGTGATCTACGTCCTGAGTTGCATGTTTACAAATGTCAAATGCGTAGTTACTTCTGTGTCAAAAGATTCCCAAATTGGTGTTTTGTCCTGAATTCCAGATTCTATGTTGAACTGCTTACTCGTTATTTCCACTTGATTTCCTAATCATGTCACTATTTTCCACTATTTTACAGTGTAAAATAGTGCTATTTTACAGCATCATTTTCACTATTTTACAGTGTTTTCTACTGAGCAATTGTATATGGAGGTTAAAACACCAAGCCCTTTGATATAGATAAAATGACCTTGGATTTCTCTAGTTCTAAGATGTTGGTTGTGAATTGGATTATGAGATTTCAAATGGTAGAGTAGTAAAGAGCTGGGACTGGTTAGATGAAAACTGGTGTGGGGCGCTTGGGTGGCTCAGTCGGTGAAGTGTCCAACTTCTGCTCAGGTCATGATCTCATGGTTTGTGGGTTCGGGCCCCACATCAGGCTCTGCACTGATGGTGTAGAGCTTGTTTAGGATTCTCTCTCTCCGTCTCTGCCCCTTCCCCCCTTGTGCTCACTCAAAATAAACAAACTTAAAAAAAAAAATTGGCCAGGAAAATGTAGGGCAAGGGTTTTAGGATGTGGCACCCTATTAAGCTCTGAGAATTCAGAGATTAATATGATACAATTGCTGCCTTTTTGGAGCCCCCATAATAGCAGGGAATACAATTATGTAAATGACAACGTGGTGTGGCCTAGTTAGTGATAAAGAGTTAGCAACCATGGGATGCCAGGACTTCACAAAGGAGGTGCTGCCTGAATGAAGGCAAATGGATGTTTTTGCCAGGCAGCTAAGATAAGAGGTAGAACCACATTTACTGTTTTATAGGTAGGGTTTTGGTTTGGTGGTAAGAGAGCTGCTTTAAGTTCCTGATTTTTTTTTTTTTTTTTTTAACCGAGGCTCCAGAAATGTGTTACCCAAGACTATAGCTGTGAATCACGCAGCTATTAAATTTAAATTAGTTAAAATTAAATATAAAATTAAAAGTCCAGTTCCTTAGTCACACTAGTTAGATTTCAAGTGTCCAAAAGCCACTTGGGACAGAATATTGAACATTTTCATTATCACAGGAAGTTCTTTTGCACAGCTGTTGGAAGTTAGTGGAAGCAAGGCATCACCCAGAACAGGAACAGCTGCAACATATCTTTGTGGGGTGTTTCTTTTGCCCCTGAGTGTAGAATGGAGTGCATAGCTGTCTGTGCTACTGACTGCACAGGAAGTGTACTGTCAGAGGCAAGAAACTCAATTCTGGTCTTAACCATCGCCTTTCTATTTTGGAAGAACTTCAACAGTCTTGGTGTGTGTCTGTTTGAAAGAATGTTTCCAAACACTGCATTGTCCTGGAGCTTGAAGGGACTTAGCAAGCCACAGAAGGGGTTGAGAAAGCATTGTCATTGTCTTGATGACACCAAACAACATCTGCCTGCTGCTCTTTACTATTTTAGAATGCCTGTGTTCCTGCCACATTCTGAGTAGATGGAAGAGTACCTCCCACATATGGAAGTATGAAATAGATTGGCAGGTTCAGACCCCACCAATAATGGGGGTTAGGAGAGAAAGGAGCCCAGTTGGGATATCTTTATACTTTAATGTGTACAACAAGTGCATGTTCATACATGCTTTTAATGAATTGTCATATGTTTTGTTTGGATATATTTGTTTTCTAGGACTTAGGTCTTTTATGAGTTTTTCCTATTACATGTCCAGCTGGTTTTATAATTTTTTATATTTTCAGATTGGGTTAAACAAACATGCTTTTCGTAAATCAAATTTTACAATACTTGTGAAATTTCTAAGGAAGGAGAAAGAAGAGAGACATCACTGGACAGTGGCTTGAGGGTGCTTTAAATGTATGGGTAGGTGGAGAAAATATTGGGAATTCATTTTATTTGTTCAACTGTACTTATCACCCAGTTTAACAAAGAATATTACCAATCCCTTCCCAGAGATCATGTGCTGACACACATGCACATATACTCACTCTTGAGTATATAGGTATATTTTGTAGTTATAAAAAGGAAGTTTTTTTATTAAAAAAAATCAACTAATGCCTTTTCTTTTTGAAGTTTATGTATATATTTTGATAGAGAGAGCGTGTGTGAATTGGGGAGGGGCAGAAGGAGAGGGAGAGAGAGAGAGAGTCGCAGGCAGGCTCCACACTGTCAGTGCAGAGCCTGATGCGGGGCTTGAACTCATGAACCATGAGATTATGACTTGAGCTAAATAAAGTTGGATGCTTAACTGACTGAGCCACTCAGGTGCTCCAAATAATGCTTTTTCTTATCCCCTACTAACTAGAGGTTATGAAATCGTGTCTTATGTTACTGCTAATAGCTTTACATGTAAAAAAAAAAAATGTAAGCACAGACATATCTACATTTTGTCATAAATATGTCCAAAGACATATACTTATGCCTATGTTTGAAGAAATTAAGACATACAAAAAGACTGCAGTGGATCAGTTTATGACTCATAAGAGATAGGAAAGAGTGGGAAGAGCTAGGCCTTGGACAGTATGTTGAAGTATGGGCAGAGCAGGGACAGGAGAGTAAGCCAAAAAGAAAACAATTGAATGTGAAGAATTAACATATTGAAGTGAAGGTTAAATGGAGGAAAAAATAACGTATTAATTTGCATTTTATGTCTTTTTTTAAAAGTTTTTTTTAACGTTTGTTTATTTTTTTTTTTTATTTATTTATTTTTTCAACGTTTATTCATTTTTGGGACAGAGAGAGACAGAGCATGAACGGGGGAGGGGCAGAGAGAGAGGGAGACACAGAATCGGAAACAGGCTCCAGGCTCTGAGCCATCAGCCCAGAGCCTGACGCGGGGCTCGAACTCACGGACTGCAAGATCGTGACCTGGCTGAAGTCGGATGCTTAACCGACTGCGCCACCCAGGCGCCCCTAACGTTTGTTTATTTTTGAGAGAGAGAGAGAGAGAGAGAGAGAGCGCGAGCCAGAATGTGAGTGGGGGTGGGGCAGAAAGAGTGAGACACAGGATCTGAAGCAGACTCCAGGCTCTAAGCTGTCAGCACAGAGCCTGACTTGGGTCTCGAACTGACAGACTGTGAGATCATGACCTGAACTAAAGTCATATGCTTAACCGACTGAGCCAGCTGGGTGCCCCTTATGTCTTGTACTTTAGCCAGTCTTCTTGCTGTTGCTAAAACATGTCCTTTGGAGCTGAGAGGTAGTAAATTGCTAACTGACGCACCCCTATACCCACACCTAATTTCTACAATTGTTAAGTGTTTT